CTTAAAAAAAAAAAAAAAGAAAAAATAAATAAAATTAGCCAGGCATGATAGCACATGGCTGCAGTCCCAGCTACTTGGGAGGCTGAGGCCGCAGTGAGCTGTGATCACGCAATTGTATTCTAGCCTGAGCAGGCAGAATGAGATTCTGTCTCAAAAAAATATAATAATAATAAAACATTAAACTCTATCATTTAAAAATCAACATAAAATTAAAAAGAAAACAAGTGCTCTGTGTTCCCAAACATTGAAAAGAAAAAAAAAAAAAAAATGAGGCCAGCCTGGTGGCTCTGGCCTGTAATCCCAGCACTTTGGGAAGTTGAGATGGGAAGATGGCTTGAACCCAGGAGGAGTTTGAGACCAGCCTGGGCAACATAGCAAGACTCAGTCTCTGTTTTTACTGGGCTCAAGCAGTCCTCCAGTGGCTCATGCCTGTAGTCCCAGCTACTTGGGAGGCTGAGGCTGGAGAATTAACTTGAGCCCAGGAAGAGGAGGTTACAGTGAGGCGAAACCATGCCACTGCACTCCAGCCTAGCCAACAGAATGAGACCCTGTCTCAAAAAAATAAAGAAACAAATAGGCTGGGCACAGTGGCTCATGCCTTTAATCCCAGCACTTTGGGAGGCCAAGGCAGGAAGATCACCTGAGGTCAGGTGTGGCAGCATGCACTTGGTAGTCCCAGCTACTTGGGAGGCTGAGGCAGGAGAATTGCTTGAACCCAGGCGGCAGAGGCTGCAGTGAGCTGAGATGCTGCCATTGCAGTCCAGCCTGGGCAACAGAGTGAGACTTGGTCTCAGAAATAAATAAAAATAAAAGAAAAAAGAAAAAAGGGCACAGTGGCTCACGCCTGTAATCCCAGCACTTTGGGAGGCTGAGGCAGGCAGATCACAAGGTCAGGAAATCAAGACCATCCTGGCTAACATGGTGAAACCCCGTCTCTACTAAAAATACAAAAAAATTAGCCGGGCATGCTGGCACACACCTGTAGTCCCAGCTACTCAGGAGGCTGAGGCAGAAGAATCGCTTGAACTCAGGAGGGGGAGGTTGCAGTGAGCTGAGATGGCACCACTGCACTCTAGCCTGGGTGATAGAGTGACACTTTGTAAGAAAAGAAGATTACTAGTATAATCCAGACTGATTCAAAAGTTGAATTTTAAAATGAAAATGTTTAACTTTATCAGGTTAACAAGCTGAGGAACAAGTCTTCCTTGTTCAAGGACAGTTCTCCAGGAATTATAAGGACAATGTCAATCCTAAATCCTTTACCTCAAACACAAGACCCTCTAATAAGAATTTAGCTGAAGGAGGCCGGGCGTGGTGGCTCAAGCCTGTAATCCCAGCACTTTGGGAGGCCGAGGCGGGTGGATCACGAGGTCAACAGATCGAGACCATCCTGGTCAACATGGTGA